ATCAGAAGCTGTTTATTCATTCAATAAACATTTTAAAACCATTCTGAATTTGTGTGTGGGATCCTCTGCCATCAGATCCGTGACATTTGTGAGACCATGCCCAGATAACGAAGAACAGGAGACGCAGTCTACATACACACACTGACGACAGACAAATGACAAACAGCTGGGACAGACAGCAGGTGGTGGCAGAAGCTAATTACATGAGGGAGCAATAGCTGGAACAGACCACAAGAGGGAGACACAAATAAAGAACAGAGTCAAACACAAGGATCAGGAAAGGAAAGAGTTACATTCGGTCCAAAAAATCTGACTCGACCCGGCACCAGCCAGTAGCTATCATTTCCGAACCCGACCCGACGTTTTAACAGTAATTCCAGGTCCGAACACGAAACCCCCCCCCCCCCCCCCCACACACACATTTTTAATTAAGCCTGACTGTTTATATAGTTATTAACAGTTGGCGGACGTGCGCGGCTAAGGGGACAGAAGATCGGAGCTGAGTGCGTTTGTCCTTTCATGGCCGTCAAAGTGCATTAAATCCCTGCTTCTGCCTGCATTCTGCATTATTCAGACACGGACCCCGCTCTGACATGTCTGATATTTTGTGATCTTACCTGTTTGGGTCGTCTGTTGTGCATGTCTGCTGAGTGCAGCTGAATCTTTTTTTAAATGACACCACCACCTTCTAAAGGAAAAAACAAACATGTCTCATTTGTTTGAATGTCTTTCTTTACTTAACTGAACTTAAAAAAAAATTTAACCTCTTTCAAGGCTGGTCAGCGAGCGTTCAAACGGCCGCCTGCTGCTGGTGATTGTATGGCAAGCCATGTTGCCATATAATTGGATTGTCAGCCGCGCTTGTCCGCTGACGCAGTCAAAAGCCCGACATTGACCCGGCCCGCACATTAAGCACATTATTATGTACCATCCTGGCCCTAATCTGGGTCGGGCCAGGCTCCGGGCTAGAAATGACAGCTCTAAAAGGAAATAATGACGAGAGACACAAAGAAAACAGACAAAAGGACAGATTATATCATTTCGTTCTTGTTCCTCTGTCCGTGGATCATCCCTTGTGGCATCATGCTCTGTTCTCCCTCCGTATCTTCTGAGCTAAGTAATGTAATAAGTTCTGCTGCCATGTCAGCGTTTGCTTTTGTTTATTTAAATCAATTATTTTTATGCTTGAGCTTCTCGAGTTCTGTCTGTACCTGGGTCCATCCGCACCACAGAACATGATACTACACTGCAGTCTGCGACCACACACTATCACTCAGAAGGCCACAAATCATCTCTGGGCTGCACTTTGGACACCCTGGCTCTACCTTTGAGAGGTTGAAACTTTCTCTAAATTTTATCAACGAACCCCTTTTCCCCTCAACTTTTCTATTTTGTCTTCTTCCACTCAGTGCTCTTCAGCGCTGTAAGGTCTGAAGGTTCTGCTATGATTTTGTTTCGGCGGGTGATATGCATTCCTTTAAGACATGCCTTCAGTTAAACGCTTCACTGGATGATTTGAGCTGTGGACGTGTCCTGCAGGACAGAAAAAAATCTCCTGCTCTCATGATGTTCTGCTCCAGCAGAGTCTGGGTGACTTCTGTCCTTCACTCAGAACAGTTTAAAGCTGAAACCAGAGCCCAGCTGAAGGAGTCCACTATCTGGTCGACTGGGAGGGATACGGCCCAGAAGAACGCTCTTGGGTCCTCATCAGAAGATGATCTTTTTTCACCATCAGTAGATCCAGCTTCGATGATGTGACACAGTCGTAAACACGACTTACACCTAACGTTCAAACATAAAAAACGAGATTTGTTTCCAAGAAAAAGACCCATTGTTCATTGTTTGAACTCTTTTTTTCTTGCTTATTAAAGCTTCACGAGGACAGAGGTTTGATAAAAACAAAGTATTTTAGTTTGAGTTCAGCTCAGCAGATTCACCTTTTGTCATCGTGCAACACTAATTTTCAGTGAAAGTCAGATTTATTCTCAGCAATCTTTCATTTGCATGTCGTTAATCCAAATGTTTCTTACCAGTTATGAAAAGAAAGGCGAGCAATAATGTTTTTGTTTGTGTCTGTGCAATTGATGTTGTCTGTTAGCAAAAAATCTCACGAGCCAGAAGACAGATATTTATGAAACCCTTCAAGTATTGACTGGATGCTACAAATGATTGAATTTTGGGCTCAACCAGATTTAAGATGGCTGCCATGGCTGACGCACAACAGCAAACACAAAAATGAATAATGCAGTGAGTTTATTTGATACAGAGCTGAATGTTAGTGTGGCTGTAGCTAACCTTCAATAACAACACAAACTTTGTCTGAAACATTGACATGAAAGGTGGCGGGTGATATGCATTATGCTACATTTCTATTCCGCGTGTTGAGGTTGTTGGTACTTAGTCTTTCAACATTTCCAGTTTTTGACACAAACTTTTTTTTATCTTCCTTCCTGTGTTCTCATCAGTTAATCTCTTTTTTTAATTAAACATTTTTTGACCCTCTATTTATAAAACGGTTAACTGCAGAGCAAGATGTCTAAAATAATAACAGAGAAAATGAGACTAACTGATGATGAACTCAGGAACGACGTGATCGGTGGAAGAGAACTGATGTGAGAGGTTCTGACCCAGATAATGATGGCACAGTTGTCGCAGAACCAAGTGACGATGAATCAAATGTGTCCTCTACTCGTCCTGCAGGGTGCGTCCTCTGTCCGAGTCCATCAACGACCTCTTCAGGGAGGTCTCCCAGCTGCATCTCCGCATCTCTGAGCTCTCTCATCGACTAGCTACACTGGAGCCTTACCTCCGTCGCCATGGCTACCGGGGAGACGGAGAGGAGGCTGGAGGCAGCAGGGCTCAGAAAGGGGAGAGGGTGAGCATCGCCCGGTACGCCCTGAAGAACAAAGAGAGGGCGAGCAGGCCGTGGGTGAGCCGGGTGGTCAGGAGGAGACGGGTCAGGATCCTGAAGAACCGGGGAGCAGCTTCAGAGTGACTCTAATGGACCGAGAGGGAAGACGTTCTGCGTAATATCTAGAGAAAACACAAAGCTCCTCAGGAACAGAGCAAACAGAAGCTCTGATCATCCTGTGAGAACAACAGTTTGAACCCTCAGACTGTCAGTATCTGTAAGTTCGAGATGTTTTAGGTTTGTACAACCAGCTTTGCTCGAGTTGTAAGACAACCAACTGCTAACAAGTATCCACAACGAATATCCCACTTGACTGAAACTGTCCCACAAAAATTGTACATACATCAGTTTTCTCTGGACATCACAAAACTGACACAAATAAAAGAAACGTGTCGGCTTCTTTGGTTGTTGGTGATTGAAGCCTCACAGGAGCCGCCATGTTGGATTTTGGAACCAGATTTTGCGCAGTACAGATGTGGGGCTTTAAGCCCCGCCTACTCACAGCACACAGTCATGGAGTCTCCTGACTCATCTTTAAGGCATGTGATAACTAATCTCAACTAAACATGATTTAAATATTAATATTTGAACAGTCAGATATGTGAATCAACAAGAGTCCACATCTGTAAAACATCAGAGGTGTGTGTTTTAATTTATTTTATTTATTTTAAGATTGGTTCACGATGCCGGGGACAACTAAGAAAACTCACGCCAAATGTTTGGAACATACACAAAATCTCAGCTCTCATCGATTCTCATGGACATTTCCAAACTTTTGGAAACGAAACTTGTTTTATTTTTTAAGTTGTTTTAATTGTTCTTTAACAGTACAGTTATTTTGTTTCTATTTGAAATAGGATCTAAACAGATTGTTTATTTTATGTCTATAGATGAAAATGTACAACTTTAAAATATATTTTAACATCGTTTCAGCAGAGAAAAACAGTTTTTCTTTGCAGAGTTTGTGACTTATCTAAATGCACAGTGTTGTTATAGGACTACGTTGTTCTAGTTTAATGTACAAAAGAATCAGATCAAATAGAATAAATAAAATAAAATCAGGAAAGTGATTTTTTTTAATGAAGAGACAGATAGCTTTAGACTTTTCTTTTTTTTCTTGTTGAAAAAAGAACAAATGTGATAAATAATCAGCAGCACGGTGGCGCATCTAGTAGAGCTGCCTCTCAGCCAGCAGGTCCCTGGTTCAAATCCCTGTCCGGAGGCCTTTCTGGGTGGAGTTTGCATGTTCTCTCCGTGCATGTGTGGGTTTTCTCCAGGTACTCTGGTTTCCTTAGGCTTATGGGTGACTATAAATTGTCTCTAGGTGTGAGTGAGAGAGTGAATGATTGTTTGTCTCTATGTGTCCCTGTGATGGACTGGAGACCTGTCCAGGGTGTACCCCGCCCCTCACACATTGATTGCTGGACATAGGCACCTGTGACCCAAAATAGAAGAAGCGGGTAAAAGATAATGGATGGATGGATAAATAATCAGTGCAAAATTTTAAGACATTTTTTATGCAGCTTTACCAAAAAGAAAAACTAAAATAAAAACCTTTGCAACGTGTGATTTA